GAGCTCAAGAAGGAGACTAACTTCTATAGGTAAGTACTGGTCAGGGAGACCACCAGGTGTGGAATGGCCATTTCTGCATTGCTTTGTGACTGGACTAGAGAGTCTGAAGGTCTGTGTCTCTACCTTCAGCCTTTTAGCCATCAGTGTGCCTTGGGCTTTTGGACTCGGTCTTCATAAGTCTGAAAGATACTGTCACACCTCCAAGCATTGTTCATGCATCCTCAGGAGCCTCTTGATAGCACAGTGGTTCAGATCCTGAGAGTTTTATTATATAGTACTCTGCCTCTGGGGCTTAGGTAGGGTGTTACAAGCTGAGTGCGATGGAACACATAGATAGTATGCCCTCTCCTTGGTTCTATTGACCTATGTTGATGATATTTGCCCCTGTTAGTGATGCTGCCCCAATGCATTGGGATGTCATGGATAAATGGAGATCCCTCTATCTTTTGGAGAGATATGGGCCTTATTGGTATTTGGGCTGCAGCAATCATTTTTTTTCTTTCCTGAACTGGCTGTTTGCTGTTTGTTCTGCTGTGATGGATGTGTGAGATATATTGTGTTAGATCTTCATGGGATCCTGGGTCCTGGTAGAGTTAATGGAACCTGGAAGCAGTAATGGGAGGAAGTAGGAGGCTGCAGGATCTTACTATGCATACATTGCTTCCAGCAACTTTCATAACCGGATAGTGACAGAGAAGAATCTTGTAAAGAAGGATTTGGACACACTGAACCAGGAGATCATGACAGTACAGGTTGACTGGAATTCAATCCAGAAATATTTGCTTGAATTCATCCTGAATGACAAAGACGAACAGAAAGAGACCAGCAAGCTCCAGACCCAACACCATCAGGTAGGGACAAGCATCTGAGTTCTGCTAATACTGCCTGATGACATTTGCACATTGGATCCATCTTTGCTTTAGCCCAGCACCCAACCAGCCACCTACCTCATGAAATGTAGTTGTTCATTGCTCTTTCAAGGCACAAGTATTCTGGGACATTACACTTTTGTGAGACCCCGAATTATGGGCAAGTGTACCTTGTTTCTCTGTTTGAAGCTGCAGTGCAATAAGGGTAACAGATGAATAACCTGTCACCTTCCTGCATTTTTTCATGACAGGTGGGTTGCTGTGCAGAGCTTTGAGTGAGTTCTGGGTCCTGAGACAGGGTCATGCAGCAGTCATGTGACACCCCAGGTCCAAGCACCTTGGAGGGATTAAAGCCAAGTGCCAATGTCAAATGAGTGGTTCTCATTGTCATCGACCTGGATGGCATGTGGCCTTCTCCTTTCTTTCTGAGATCTTTTCCAAGCCCTGTTCTTGGTTTGCACTGATAGGAGTCTGAGTGGCAGCTCCTTAGCCCATGTTTTTGTGAGTGTTGCTGGATATTTTGCGCTGCCTGCAGGTTTAGCAATAATGGTTTCAGTTAATAGATCAATGTTGACTGTCTTGTTGCTGTGGTGGGAGGCAGCAGCCTGAGAGCTGACATGCAGGTCCCCACCAAGCCTGTGTCTTAATAACTGCCTTTCTCTCCCAGGTCTCAGAAACTGCAAGAGGGCTGAGATTGGCCACAGCTGAGAAACAGCATCCTCTGCAGAATGAGTTGCCAGCTCAGGAGCCCCCTGCTGAGCTCCATCCTCAACAGCCAGAGAATTCCTTGGATCAATCTTCTTCCACATAGTTTGTTCCTCAGTGTGAATAAGCCCTACATCTCAGCCAGTGAGCCAGCCTGGGTGATTGTGGGTCTTATTCCCTTTCCTGTTCTGACAAAACCAATTGAG